CCAGCTGCACCTCTTTAGGGGTAAGATTACTTTCCACACTATCATTATTTTCTTATATTCTAGCCCCCTACATGAAACATGCAGAACACCTTTTACACAGCCGGTAAAAGTCAGCTGTTCTTTTAAAAGCAAACAATGTAGAAAGTATTTTTTTTAAACTTCAGTAATTGCCAAAGCAACTGTGAAATTTGTTGCATGAAAACCTGAAACTGTGAGAAACTTGTCTTGTTAGAAGGGGAGAGGAGCTGCTACCAAAGTGAAACTCAATCTCTCAAGCAGCATGGAAGAATGGTGAGCTAATAGTGCAGTGCTTTGACAATGCATCCAGAATGAGGGAATATCCATTACAGAACCTGGAGCTTTATAGGCCTCACTGCCAACTAGGGTGGAAATAAAGGAATCAGAGAATACAGCAAGCTCTTGAGAGCAAGTTTTGGGGAAAATGTAAGAGAAGTGAGAAGCTTTAAATGTCTTGACATTCTCTTAATCCCAGAAAAGGAAGAGGAACAAACAGTCTAATGATGGGATGCATCAGTCACCCTCTGAAAAGCCTCTTCAGTCCAGGGAATTAAATGGAGTTTACTGCTGCTGCTTTCTGGCACATGCTAAACAGAGATATCCAGGGCATGTTTGGGGGTAGAAGGTATTGAAAGAGAGAAACAGCCAAATTTCAGTCAAAGTGATTGGTTTTGCTCAGATGGGATCCTCTTTATATCTGACTGCATGAGTGGGTGCCTGTGCCTGCCAGGAGACAGATTTTTCTGGTTTCTTCAATGGAGCAAGAATCAAAACACAGGAGAAATAGAATCACTGTAAAACAGAGCAAGAGACAGCATCTTCACCAATACCCAGGATTAAATTCAAAATGGAATTGAAAACACAATTTAAGGGTCCTTTTTAGGGCTTGAACAGAGCAAGACGTAATGTACTGTTCTCTTTTTAGAGTGACTGTTTCTGGGTGGAAAACCACTTTGTATATAAACCTTAAAAAAAAACACCTCAGCGAAGAGGACCCAAATGGGCATGACTGACTTCCTTACACTTCCAGCACAAGTTGGTATAGTTCTTTTTATCAACAGGACCAAATAATAATAAAGCACTTCCCTTCATATTCAAGAAGCTTTTTGAAAACAATTCTAATTAATCTCCACAGCCTGCCTTCTAAAAGAAATGAAATAAATGACATAAAACAATATGAAGCTTCCAGAACCATTTTTGGTTGAAGAAAGAACAGGATATTTGGTTTTCACACTGCCACTCTCAATCCTTAGAAAGCATTAAGTTCATTTCAGTGCATCCCTCCTCAGTTCCTCCCCCAGACTTCCTGCTTGTTACTCTTCATTTACTCCAATCAAATTTAGGTCCTATCCACTCACACTAATACAGAAGATTCACTGTGACTGGGCTGTCCTCACGGTAGCTGTGCGTTCACCAATACCTTAAGGCAAACGTGTCCAAAGCACATCAGAAATATCAGCAATGCACACCGTGTGCCATTAAACCCCTGAGTGAAGCAGCCCCGTGAGGAGCACAGTTACACAAGCTCAGAGCACACAAAGCTGGGAGATTCTGAGCACTGGCAGCAAAGTTGGGCAGTGCAGGGAAAAGGAAAAAACCCAAAGGGACTTTGGCAAGTCCCAGTCCTGCAGAGGGCTGTGATCAGCGTGGAAATATTGAGCTGGATAAAGTTCTCCACTGTGGCACTCACATTCTCTGAACAGAGAGACAGAATTCTCTCTCCCAGGTTTTTTCCTGGAGAAGCACAGAGAGAAGAAGAGAAAACAACTCTTGTCTCTACTTGCTGCTCCTGTTGTTTTTGCACATGTGGAATGTGTTATGGAGATTGTTTACCTGAAGTGATTTGGCAGTTGGATTCTGCTGAGGATTGTTTGGTTTCCTTGGCCAGTTGGATCAAAGCTGTGTCCTGGCTGTCTCAGTCAGTCATGGGTTTTTCTTTAGTACTCTTTGTAGTATGGCACCTCTTTATATAGTTATAATATAGTATTAATGTAATGTAATATAGTTTAATACAGCAATTGTTCAGCATTCTGAATCGTGGAGTCAGATGCCAATCATTCTCTGCATCAGGGGCTCCCTGAATTCTGTGCTCCACAGCTCAACCTGGACTGCAGGAGCCTTGTAAGAGTTATTTGAGAAACAGACTCTCATTCAGTCTCTGTCAGTGACTCAGGACACACACTTTATGCAATGCATGGAGGTCGGATTGTCCCCAGATTTCTTTACCAAATCTGGAAATTACTTTTCTGCCCCATTCCTGGGAGCAGAACACCATGTATGTGGCTGGGAGCTGATGGAAGGCATTTTAAATATATGGCCCAGCAATTTACACATTGGCCAATAGGAAATTTGAGAAATGACAAGCAGGTAAATTTTAATCCTCTGGATTAGATATGTAGGAGGGGATGACAGGGCTCTTGAACCTGTCTATGATAACATAATAAAAGCCATATATAAAGGCAGACTCAGCTGGCCCAGCCTGGAGGCAATGCCCCACCTTCATCAAGATTTTGCTTGTGTATAAAAGCATAAGTTTTGCTTTTAATCTCCACATTTTCAGATGGCCTTGGGCTGTTGCCTTAAACAAAACTTCAGTGATGTTCTGAGTGGTTTCCCTGCACACTGTTGGGTATATACAGCTCCAGATCTACTCTAATCCAGCAAAGCTGTTTACAAAACAGCTTTAGTTCTCCATTCATGCCTGAGAGGGGAAAGTGATATTTAAAATATAAAGAATGTCTTTAATGTAGCAAATAGATGAAAGCAAATGCTCCACTATGTCATGGAGCACAGATTCAAACAACTGCCTTATGTCCTCAAAAACTTAAAACTGTATTCATAAATGCTGTTCTCCATGCACAGGCTATAGAGAAGCACAGATAAAGCTGAGTGGTTTGGTTTCCACTCTGTGTGCTGATGGAGTTTTAGAAAAATATTATTCTGTTCACAGGAACTTGCATCTTGGAACTCTACTCATAAAACGCAGCCATGGAACGTGTAAGTCTTGTACAAGTACAACACAAAGTGATTACCAAGAGGTTTATAAGCTAACAGGAGGACAGAACAAGCACACAGCTTCAGAAAACACTGTCATGCACACTGGGACCTGTTCTGGAGCTCAGATCTATGCAGGTCACAGCTGGGAGCTCAGCCCTTGCACAGAGTGAGCCAGGTGTGGCACTGGACACTTACAGAGATATAAAGCTCATTTTGTGCATGAGTGGAGGGAAGCACTTCTTTAATAAACAGAGTTTATTTCACTACAATAATTTTAAAATCATCTTGTAGCTTTAAAAGGTGACCACTGGCATGCAGTAATTTGTTAAAAAGATTAATAAAGTTAATAAAAGTAGTTGAAAGTATAAACTTCCCATTGAGAAAGAAGCCAAGTAAGATCATAAAAAACAACAAAAAATATTTTTTTAATTTTCAAAGCACAGAATATTCATCTGGTTAAATAAACCACACTATTACAATGCCAGTGCATTGATTTACACCATGATCTCAGTTTAAAAGATTTTAGAGCTACTCTAGTGGTTCTCCACACT